TACAACGGTCATCAGCTACAAGACAAGGCCGTACACGCGCTTAGCACCATCCGGATAAGGATGGTCTCCTTCCCGCGTCCGTACAGCCCGAGATGGTCTCCTTCCCGCGTCCGTACAGCCCGAGATGACCGTTACCACTCTTCCTTTTATTCAAACTAGTTACTTGCATAACACGAAACCCATTTCATTCATAACTATTACTTAGTTAGAATAAAATGTCTTCTTGATCAATACTCCCCCTCAAGTTTATACTACAATAATCATTGTCCATCTGCTGGCCTCAGCATCAAGATGTTTGGCATGGCACGTAAGCTCGCCACATGTTCTATAGGCTGGTGGGTTGGTCTATCTTCTCGAAGACCGATTGAATAATGTGTCATTAATTACGTATATAACTCCTGCTTGAGACAGTCAGACAACGCAGAGAGCCTAATGGCAGCTCTCATGTAGTCTGTGAAGAAAAAGAACGCAACACAGTAAGGAATGAGCCCCTAGCTGTGACAGGTAATGCCATTATAGATAGTGTGATGAAACTATCAAAGCAATCGTACATAAAGTTTAAGGTGCATTGTTAGGATAGAATTGCAAACCTTCCTTCTTTTAAGAGTAAACTATTTTAAGTCCACCAAACATTGATGTGGAGTGGATATGTGTCTACATGCTGTCGAAGATGAAAGATAATAACTCTTGAGATTGATTTTGTTGCTTTGTTGATATAGACAAACATATTAGGTTACGCTTTTTTAAAAATATTAATTTGTTTGTAAAAATTAATAGGTGAAAAAATAATCTAGGTAAATTATGATAGTATTGAAACATCTAACACAAGCTTAAAATATGATATACTTTATTTTCAAAAAATTTGAACAACATCAAGGTTTATGGAATGCCTAACCGCAAATTGATATTAAAAGGTCGGTGCTCTCATCATTATTCTTATAAATATTTATCCTAAAAGTGGTTTATGCAACGATATGAGGTTATAAGTAGCTTATTAAGAAAATCCAGTGTTCTAAAATACGCTTTAGGCGGCCGTATATACGGTAACTATACGCTATACGCAGACTATTGTACTGTTTTTAAGCTATGTGTTTAGCAAATACGGTTGGACTAAATACGGCCGCTTATACGGCTCAATACGGCCGCTATACGGCTCAATACGGCTATTATCCGATGCTATACGGCTCAATACGGTGTTATACGGATCAATAGGACCATTCATATTGTGCCGCTTATATAAATACGGTTGTGATTATGTTTTCATTTTCTTGAGAGTTGGAGTTTAACGTGATACTCTTTTTATGTTTTTTGAAAACTGTTTTATTTTTAAAGCATTTTCACTCAAATATTTTTTATATGATATTATATATATTTGTAATATGTTTATATATTATTATATATATATATATATATTTATAAAAATGTATTCACCGTATATATCCCGACATCCCGTATATACAGCCGCATATACAGTTAGGCGCTATACGGTGATCCACCGTCCGACTACCGCCTAACGTATTTTAGAACACTGAGAAAATCATGTTATTGAGACTCGAGTTATAACCGGTAAATAGATTGGAGAAAAAGTCTTAATCCCTAAAAAATGTTTGTAATCCCATCTGAAGTTAAGTTTTCGTTCAGGATGTGACGTAGACAATTTTTAGTGGTTGTTTCTTTTGCCATAACCAATAATAGGAGTCAAAGTCAAACATTATCTAAAGTTGGTTTGTTCCTACCTAGATCTACATTTTCTCATGGACAAATCACAAATACATGTTGTGCTATCCAAGGTAATGTCTATATAGATGGTTTGAAAATCTTAATCATATGTAGAGATGGAAAGCCTAAGAGACAAGAAATTTAAATAGTTTTGTATAAGAAAGTGTTTCAAATCATCTATTAGTTTCGATATTAGTTTTTTTTTTTAATTTAATTATAGTTTTTTAAATTTAACTTAGTATTTTATACTTGATGTTATTTGACTTATATTTAATTAAAATTTCAAATTTTAATTATATCTATTTATTTCACATTTTTGGCTTAAAGAGTAGAATTAGGGGAATTTAACATCATATATTATTACTTAAGCACATTACTAGCTAAATATTGATATTTGATATATATATGATATATATATATATATATATATATATATATATATATATATATATTAGATTTTCATGGATGCAAATTCGTTACACTTGAAAAAATAGTTATTCTTGATGTGATTGGATGATATCTTTACTATTTTTGAATCTAGATTGATTTTTTTGTATTGAAATAGTAACGTTTAGATAATGTGTTTTGTTTATATCAAATAACAAGATTATAAATATATAAAAAATCAAGTTTAACCTCTTTTCAATATTACGATCAAGTGATCTTGTTTTTGATACGAATAATAATTCTCATGCAAGAGTCACATTATCTTTATCTGCAACTCCTTTAAAAAAAAATTCTTGGGTTGTTGAGCAAAACAGAGAAGAAATGAATAAAAGAAACTGACAAAACTCAGTTATACTTACTCGGTAGAACAGCATAAACCCTCACGTCAACTTCTTCGAGATCGCTTTGGTGAGATTCTATCAAACCTAAATAAGTAGCTAGAAGCATACACTTTCACCCCATGGAGACATGTTAAAGGCCAGGACAGATAACACATCGGGCAGGTACTTCTGCAATTTAACTGAACTAACACCTCTTTAACATATTTAGACAGTACTTATTTTGTACGACGTAACCTACCTAGTACCGGTAGGGCCGGTCCTGAACAAAGCCAAATGAAACAATGGATTTAGGTCCCATTTTTAGAAAGTTCCCAGTTTTAAAAAAACTGATATATAAAATGAAAATAATAGTAAAATATATAAAATTCTAAACTATTGTAAATATTTATTTAATAGGAGGGGCCAATTTTTTTTCGCTTAATCCCGCTTAGACCCACATTGATTTCTTTTTTTTATTGCAAATGGATCAACGTAACTTTTATTTTAGCCATTAGTGTAGAACTAAAAATTCTCTAGTAATCTTGAAATAAACAATTAGATATTGTACCCTTTCACCCATCGATTTTCAAGTTAATCAAATCCAATAAAGCTTTAGGCCAATTAGATTTTTTCGTACCAAAAAAAGGATCATATTCTCATGTGATTAGTGGTATAGAGCTCCTCGCTAAACACAACACCACTCTTATTCCGAATATGGTGACACTAAATAACACATTTTTTATACTAGTAAAAGTTATTTACGCTTAGATAAATTATTCAGCAAAGCTCTAAAGAAAAAAGAAAAGAAAAATATCAGTGAAAAGAAAAACATTATAGACAGATAATTAGACATGATTGATGGGCTAGGTCCAATGAATATGAGTAAGGATAAGAAAAAAAAAAACACTTTCCTTGTGAAGAAGAAACAAAATTCACATAAATTATGTTACAAGGAAACACAATGAGACTGACCAAAAACCCTTAAGAATTTATGCCATAATATAATGAATATTAATAATAATTTTAAATGCAACAATTGATAGTACTATTAATTATAAATAATATATTAAAGAGGCTATTATTTTTGAAACCACAACTAAACAAAAATTGAACTTTAAACTACATATAAAACCATAATATAGATATATAAATTAATCACAAAATTACATATAAAACCATGATAACATAAATAAAAATGCAAATAAAAACATACAAAACCAAAATAGATTATATAAGTTTTACTCTTCACTTGATGATGCGCCAAACTTTTGCCATATATGCTCAACTAAGTCGGCATTTATAGAAATGCTTATGTAAGCTTGAAGATAGTTTTGCATTATTTCATGAGATATTTTTGATGATTAAATTTTAAATACATATATCTCAAATCACAATTATATATTAATCTAAAAATTATTGCAAAATATAAGTTTTAATTTTAAAATTTTATTTTATGATATAATACTATTGTATTAGTTAAAACAATATTAATTTAATATTATGTATTAAGCTTAACTAACACCAATTTAAAATAATATTATTATATAATTTAAAGTTATACATAATGGAGCTTGATATATAGATAATTTTATTTTTTAATTTGTTAAGAAGGTTAAATTAAAAAATAACAAACATATAAAGTATTTAGTTAATGTTATAAACTATAGATTATTTGATTTGTTACAAAAAAATAAACTAATAAGAAAGTGACATGTGGAAGAAAGAGAAAGTTTTTTATGGTGTCTCAAATAAAAAACGATTCTACACAAAATTGACTAAAATAGTATTATTTAAATGTTTTTTATTTAATTTTAATGGGAGAAACTTGGTGAGACACTACCAATGGAGATGGTCTAATAGATTAGTGATCTTAGTCGGAATTATCAAACTAATCTGAACCGTCGATTGTATATTGTAGGGTATAAAGCATGAGTCACAGATATTTGACAGGTTTTGTGTATATGATTTCTATTATTTAACATAATCCGCATCCTACGTTATCAACCCCTTTAATTCCATTTAAGTTATAAAAGTTCAATCTCTAAAGTGGCGTTTAAATTGACGTAACAAAAGAACGAAGTCTAAAGTTGACAAAAAAAAATGGTGAAGTTTAAGTATGAAGGATATGATCTTGATCGGGTAAGACATACTTTAAAGAAAATGTCTCAAGTGGAAGAGAAACTCTTGGTGAAGCAGAAGGTTTAATGGAGTTACAAAAAAAAAAAAAAAAAGATTCTAAAAAGGTCTTATGAGTTATGACCCTAACTGATATCAATAACATGAAAACTTTTAGATATCTTGACATGGTATAAACTTTTTGAATAATTCCAAAATGTTAAAAATTGAAACATTCGTTGTAATCTCAAATACACGCATGTTAAAGATAGTTAAAGTCCGTGTGTTAAAAACGATAAACCATCATTTACAATTATGTAACATATTAAATATAATTACAACACCAAAAAAAATAAAATCAATAACATTACCATTTCTTCCTCGAACTAAACGAAACAAAGTTAGGTCGTATACATAACTGAAACGTCTTTGTAGATTAGGTCTTGGCCCATTCAAGCTCTAATGGGCTGTTGTGGTTGAATTTTACACCACGAAAAAAAATATTTGTCAGACGCCAACGAAGCCCATCTAATTCCTCCCTTTATATATATCGGACGCCAACGCGGCAATGGTAATTTGTTCGCTTCAATCAAAATTCAAAACCCTAGTCGTCGATATCGAGAGATCCAACCAACTCTGCTTATCTCTCAGGTAAATTTCTCGATCCTTATCTCACTGTTTCTTAGAGTTTACACTTTTAGATCACTATTTCTTAGAAGAACCCTACAAGTTATATATATATAATTTGCCCACAAGTATCTATCTATCTATCTGAAAAGTTGTATTTGCGATTACGGCCGTGTTCCTCTCTCTCTACTCTAGGTGATTAAACCGTGTCAATCTCTATCTTTCCGAATGCTTATCTGATGTTTGATTTCCGTTGTAGAATAAATTACTTTCCCAATTTTTGATTTTTCGTTTAGGTTTTCAATGGAGGCTGTTCCCCCTATTAATAAGTGCAGTGGAACGGATGAACTTGCCTCTTGGTTTTGCTCAGAATGCGATATTTCTGGCAAAGGCTTTGAAACTTGCTTCAGGCATCTCAAATCTCATGCACTGGAAGAGGAGGTAATTTAAGCATCCTAGCCAAACCAGATGGACTTGTTGTATCAATACGTTTTTGAGTCAAACAACCATTTACCACAATTTGTAGTTTTGTTTGTCTGCTTGAAAACATTGTAGTTTCCCTTGTAGTTTTCGTTGCCTAAGTTTGACCCCATGTTATCTTTTCTCACTGGATGTGCATATTTGGTTTTCAAGGAGGCCATAGATGCAACACTAAGTGAGTGTCATGAGAGATACAACGAGGTGGTTGTTGACGGAGTTCCGGATTCCCTTGATTATCATCTGGAGCAGCAATGGATGGCAAGTTTTAATATCTGAAAAAACACGTTGTATCAATACGTTTTGTCACTGTCTTAACTGTTTTTTCTTTTTAGTCAAACAACCTCAGTACGTAGTTTCTCTTTCTCAGTTCTAGTTTTGTTTGCCTATATCTGACCCCATGTTAATCTTGAATGATGAATGGTACCCAGACGGATGACTATCATGCGGGTGTAACAGCAGTCCTTTGGGACATCAAGAGGTGTCCTGTTCCCCCTGACTGTGATGCTCGTCTGGTCGGTCCGTGTATTACTGAGTATTTCGAGGATTTAGGCTACTCCGGTCCTATCAACATCTATGCCTTTGGCCAACTAACAGACGTCCCTGATGACGTCCTGCGAGCAGTCTCGTCCACTGGAATCAGTCTTAACCACATCACCTTCAGTTAGTATCTTCTCATCCTTTTGCCTTCCTACAATATTCTTTATTTTCCTTCCGAGTCTCAAATCTTTTGTTTCAGAAACAGATTCCGCAGACATTATGCATCTCATGGCTTGCTGGACCTGTTTGAATCCACGTCCAGCTACCATTATGTTTATATGCCCTTATTCGAAAGTCTCAAAGAACGATATGAACCATCTAGAAGAAAAGTGGGGATGCCACGTTATTAAGCAGTTTACATATGATTCTCCTGGTTCTCAGTCCTACTTTGGAAACTTTCTTCGTCTGGAAGGTGTGATTTTGTCCTCTCTCAGTGTTGTTGAAATATCCAGCAAATCAGTTGCTGAACCAGCTACTTTTTTTTGGTCCACAGATGATTCAGGGACTCTTGCGGAGGATAAGTGCAGTGAAACGGGTGAACATGCCTCCTGTGCTTGCCTAGTATGCAATATTTCTGGCAAAGGCTTTGAAAATTTCACCATGCATCTCAAAACTCATGCACTGGAGGAAGAGGTAATTAAGCATCCTAGCCAAACCGGATTGACTTGTTGTATCATTACGTTTTCTCATTGTCTTAACTGTTTTTTAGTCAAACAACCAATTACCACAAGTAGTTTCCCTTTCTCACTTGTAGTTTTGTTTGCCTAAATTTGACCCCCATGGCATCTTTTCTCACTGGATGTGCATTTTTGGTTTTCAAGGAAACGTTGGCTGAACATTTTGGGCATGTACACATAGTTGCAACACCAAGTGTGTGTCATGAGAGACATTACAAGGAGGTAGTTGAAGCCGGAGTTGAGGAGGCTTCCCTTGATTCTCATCCGGAGAATGCTACTACCATGGTGAAGAAGCAACAGTAGCAGCATTGTTGCGTAAAAAAATGGTGAATGTGTTGTTTAATTCTTGTGCTTATTTCAAGTCTCGTCTTTTAAGTTAACTATACTTCATATATATGGAGATCCGACATTGTTAACTGGATAGTATTTCTCAAATGATCAATAATGTGACATCGATGTTTTTTCTAATTGACCGGTTATAAGGTGGTATGTAAAAATTAATAATGAAGTACAGTATAACAGTAAATTTGAATGTTTGATTGTATTGCTGGCTTAGAGCTCTTTCCACAATGTTTTCATGAAGGAAAATAAATCTTACCATTGTTTGCTTATCTCTACTTCCTATCTGAGAGACTGACCAACAAACTTTTAAAAGCCACGTCGTCTCTTGTATCTTACTATCTGGATGGGTAGTGTTTTTAGGGGAAAATGGTCTAGCACCCATTCCTTGAGCATACTTTCTCTTAGGGCCACCTAATGCAGCCTCTCTTGTCTATGGGATTCAAAAGCAAATCAATCTTCAAGGAATAGTATATAGTAGATATAGACTTATAGTAATAATCCAAGCTCAATTTCATTCATATATTCAGTTCAAATCTCCATTATGTAACATATGCAATATAATAACGTTAACATATTACAACACCAAAACAAAAGATTCAATAACATTACCATTTTCTTCCTCAAACTAAACAAAACATAGTTAGGCCATACATAAATGAAACGTCTTTGTAGATTAGGTCTTGGCCATTTAAGCTCTAACGGGCCATCATGGTTGAATTTTACACCACGAAAAGAAGAGATTTGTCGGTGCTGATTTATATAGCCTAGACTAAGATACAAATGATATCCGGAATATTCGACGCTAAAAAGGAAAAAGATAACAATCTTTAAGCACAACCCCAAATTCTTTACAAGAAGTTATAATATATAAAACACACAAAAAATATTGATTCAAAATCAAAACCAAGAGCGCCCATAGGAGGGGCAATTTTTTCGCTTAATCCCGCTTAGACCCACATTGATTTCAGTTTTTTTCTTGCAAGTGGATCAACCTTACTTTTATTTTAGCCATTATTAGTGTAGAACTAAAAATTCTCTAGTAATCTTGAAATAAACAATTAGATATTGTACCTTTTCACAATTCGATTTTCAAGTTAATCAAATCCAATAAAGCTTTAGGCCAAGTAGATTTCTTCGTACCAAAAAATGATCATATTATCATGTGATTAGTGTTATAGAGCTCCTCGCTAAACACAACACCACTCTTATTCCGAATATGGTGACACTAAATAACACATTTTTTATACTAGTAAAAGCTAAATTACGCTTAGATAAATTATTCAGCGAAGCTCTAAAGAAAAAAGATCAGTGAAAAGAAAAACATTATAGACAGATAATTAGACATTGATGGGCTAGGTCTAATGAATATAAGTAAGGATAAGAACAAAAAAAAAACACACTTTCCTTGTGAAGAAGAAAGAAAATTCACATAAATTATGTTACAAGGAAACACAATGGAACTGACCAAAAACCCTTAAGAAATTATGAAAAATTCAAAAACTTGTTGTGATCACATGGTTGTATGGACTGAACTTGGACTTTTCTTCAATCCTATTGTTTCTTTTATATTTCCAAAGCAGATTCTTATACAATTTTTTATTCCTTAAACGTAATGATACTTCAAACTTCAAAGAGTAAAAAGAATAGTTTTTTTTTTTTTTTTTTTTTTTGAGTAAAAAGAATAGTGTTGAAAGAAACTATTGTTTTTGCCTCCAAGTAGGCAACTATGCCTCCTAACACACAATACAGAAACAGAGTTTTAACTCTCATTCCATGCCTTTAAATATCTTTTCAGATTGCATAACTTTTTCAACCAAATCTGTGTGAGAACAAAAATCAAAAGAGATGGTTTTGATCAAAGAGAGAGAGATGGAGATTCCTGTTATCGAATTTGGAGAATTGGATGGAGAGAACAGAAGCAAGACCATGGCACTTCTTGATCATGCATGTGATAAGTGGGGCTTCTTCATGGTATGTATAATATCTTTATGCACAAGTCAAGCCAGTGTTTTCTAAGATATGTCTAGTGTATATCCTTGAAGAATTGGTGAATTTGCAGGTTGATAATCATGGAATTGATAAAGAGTTGATGGAGAAAGTGAAGAAGATGATTAACTCTCACTATGAGGTGTTGGAACTTATTTTGATTAGTTGCGCCGGACTACTTTTTCGGGTAACTTTCAAAGTTGAAGTTCGTTTGAATGAGAAATGGAGGTCCGAAGTGGCTAGCTTGGATAGCTTGAAATTTGACTAAAGGATCAAATGTCGCACTTCGGAAGTTAAAGGAGAAATCCAAACCAGGCATGTGTGCCGAGCCGTGTTGTATCGTGTCGAGCCGGACCGGGTTGGAAATTTTGAGATTTGGGAAATGGGCTTATAACTCAAATGATAATTGTTAATTACCCAAATGTGTAAGTTGATTAAGTCAACAATTATCTCCTTTAATGTGAATTATAAATTGTGTAACAACAAAAATTAATTCACAACAATTAAAGGTGATGGAGTCAATGGCATTGATGTTGAGAATTCATTCTCATAACAATAACATTCTCACCTTTATTGCTCCATTATAGTGTTGAGAGCTTGGACTATAAAACCAAGGCTTCATATCTCCATTTTTATCTCATGGACATATGGATCAAAAAGATCACAATCTCCTTCTTCTTCTCTTCTCTAGTTATCGAGTCTGAGAGTACACACATTACTAGAGTTCGTTAGGCTTCTGATTTTGAGTGTTGCAAATCAGAAGATGGTGCGGTTGTATCCTGGGATTCTGATTGCGTCAAGCCGTCACACTACGGGCAATTAAAGAATTAAGGAAAGAGTGTCTCGCCTCCGCACAAACCGTTCTTTGTTTAACAAATATTGGTTTCGGTTGTTGTAATTTATTTCTGGTTTTATCATTATCTATTGCATTTATTCAGTTTTGTCATGTCGTAGAAATCGTGGTCTTATAGTCTTAATTCTTTAAATTTTCGTTATTATACTAACGAAAAAATTAATTAATTGTGAAGTTTTGATAAGAACAGGTTGTTTCATCGATCGATTCAATCTCGTTTGGATGTGTTATCAGGATCGATTACAAATTGGTGGATTGAGAACCCTGGAAAAAATCCAGAATTTATTTTGAATTTCTGCAATTTATTTTATTTATTTTGCTGATTTTTTGGGTTAACTAATCTGCTTTATGCAATATATATATATAGGTTATATTGCTTGCAGGTGGCGTTTTATGGTTCTGAAATTTGTTGTCTTTAACAAAAATTCGGAGCAGTTCATTGTTATTATTGAGCGAAATTTGATTTGTTTGACCGGTTTAGAAAGTTCCGGTTTGGCTCTTAATTACCAAGCATGATTTGTTTTTGTTTTTGGACACGTTCTCTTCCAGTTTTTGGGAAGTATATTGTGTTAATTGTTAGCACTTAGCAGGTCTCGACACTGTTTGTTTATCATTGTTGTTTATTTGTGTTGTCCATTGGTGATAATTGGAACAAAAACGTTAGTGATCTTGCTTAGTCATCGTTATGCAAATTTTAATCAATGATTGCAATTTATTCTAGTAGTTTAAATTGTATTATTGTGGTTTTTGCATTAATAATTAAATTGTTGATTTCTGAATTTTCTAAATTTGAGAATTTTTAATTTAATTATAATTTTTAATTTATTCATATTTGTTTAAATTACTTGATCTTTAATTTCTGGTTTTTTGTTTAGTATACTAATTTGTTTTTGTTTATTCGTGAACATATTCGATTTTGAGTATGACTAAGGAAAAAAAATCCAGATTTTATTGATGGTTAGAACGATGGTACACCGCTCATTGATGAAACCGTGGAAGCGAATTTTATGATGATGAGTCTTGTGAGTCGATACCCCATGTTGGGAGTGGTCAACCACATATGATTTTGTCGATTATTTAGACTAGATTTTTGATGTTTATCTGAATGTCTAGATCCAAGTTATACCGTTTGCGGTGGAGTTGTTATTGGTTATGAGTCTAGTGAGTCGACACACCAAATTTAGTTTGGTAGTGGTCAACCACTTGTGATTGTGCCATGTTCTGATGTTGATCAGATTTTAAAATCAGTTCTTGGCGCTTTTAGTGCAAGATTGATGCTTAATAAAAGGTCAAAAAAAAAAAAAAGATGTTGCCAAGAGTGGCTTGTGGGTCACAAGATTGATGAATGTCGTAGCGATGCTAACGAATGGCGTAGTAAAAATTGACCCATGATAATCCAAAACCAATATGATTGAAACAGGCATATGCGTTGTAGTTTCTGAAATCAATATGGTTGGGATGCATCTCTTAAAGAGATGTTGAATACAATGTTGGAGGATCTGGGTTACTCCAGGAAATGTGGGGGAAGCGTTGCTTACCACAAATAATATCCTCAACAAGAAGCTACATAAGTTATTAGCGAGTTCATAGCTTTAGATAATTCTAAAGAAGTTATGTAGCCTTTGAACTTTGTGGGAAAAAAAAAAATCAAGTGCATTGTGATAGTCGACCGGCTAAAGCTTAGGCACTGAGTTTTTCTTTTTGGGTAATGGTTAGTCATTTCTTTTAAGAAGATGATGTAAAACCATTAGAAAACTGATCTCAATTTTGTGTAATCTCGATAGATTATATCAAATTGAATGACAACCTATTGGATCCATTTATTAAAGGTGTGTCATGAGGTCAAGTTGTAAATCATCAAGAGGAATGGGTTTAAAGCCTATGACTTAAGAGGAGGTTTGATGGTAACCCCACCTACGTGACTGGAGATCCCAAGATGTAGGTTCAAGGGGAAAACTAAATCAAACTGAATCTGTTAAGAGCACTGTGAGACTCTAGTCTCTTCCCAGTTCCTAGGATGATGAACAGTGCTTCCTGTATGTACAGAGGATAAGCGTTGCTTTTAATGATTTGAGTCCATAGCTTTGGGATAGAAGGGAGTATTGCAGGATACTTCTTAAAACAAAGCTAACATGGCAAATCACCTTATGAGTGTGAAATGGGGCCGTTTCTAGGAGAATATATGAGGCTATATTTTCCAAGTTCACTCATGATTAACCAGGCATGTTCAGGGCCAAAATGAACACAACAAGAGAACCTAGTTCTGTGA